AAAGGTTCTTATTTTGACTAAGTTTACTACTTTAAAACCTGTGCAGTCTAAAAGCTGCCACCTTCTTAGAGTGAACATTTCACTACTTAAAGCCCACAGAACTGTAAAGCAGTAGCCACATTTATCAGGTAGAGATGAGAAAACAAACCTAGACTACAGTTCAGTTAAAGGCCCACTCTTGGGACTGCCTTTCTTCCAAGTAATTCAGCAACACAACCAACAGCTTAAGACATAGGATTGGGTTTGTGTGGCCAGGTTTTGGTAGTGGGGGGGAGGGCTACAGGGGTGGCTTCTGTGAGAAGCTGCTATAAACTTCCCCCATGTCTGACAGAGCCAATGCCAGACAGCTGCAGGACAGACCCACCACTGTCTTTCCTTTATAAGAAGGAAAAAAAAATTATTACAGAGGTGCAATTGTGCTCAGAGAAGAGAGGAATGAGAATATGTGAGGAACAACTCTGCAGACACCAAGGTCAGTGGAGAAGGAGGAGCAGGAGGTGCTCCAGGCACCTAGCAGAGATTCCCCTGCAGCCCGTGGTGAAGACCATGGTGAGGCAGCTGTGCCCCTGCAGCACATGGAAGTCAACAGGGATGCAGAGATCCACCTTGTTATAGGTTAGAAATCCAGGAGAATTTTTTCTTCCCCCTGCCCCCACTGTAGGAAAGACAGAGTTTGAATGGAAAGGGAGGCAATTAGTGTTACAAAGGGGCTAGCCAGCCAAGCTGCATTCCTAATGAATGGCCCATCAGAGGCTGGGGGGAGAAGGGAGGAGTTTTGGGAGGGGGTGGCTGTCTCTTCTCAGAGGGGAGAGATCAGACTGCGGAGTTCTCTCTCTGGGACGGAGACAGGGTCTATGTCCAGGCATTTTTGGAGAGGGGCCCGGGAAGCTGGTCTTTCTGGCTTTTCATCCTGGTGAGGCCTGACCTCTGGCCTCGATCGGCTTGTGCGCTGCCTCTTGACTCCAGCCGGGACCTACTGGGTTTTTCATCGGAGAGTTGTGTGATCGCTGGGAGAGAGGGGAGGAGCCTTGGAACACCGTCATCTGAAAGCAACAGTGAGTCCCGTGGGGGTGGACTGCTTTTCCTTCTGACCTTCTTCCATTGGGGGAAGGGTCTCCGTTTTCTTTTCGGCTTCTCCCCCGATCCGAGACCACCCCCCAGACCCCCCTCCTGCGCGGTGACTGCCAGAGCCCAACAGCGCCCCCTGCAGACCACCACAGCGTACTGCAGGCTCTGTACATCCAGCGATCCAACAGCGCCCACTGCAGGTCAACACAGAGAACTGCAGGCTCTGCATCTCCAGTGATCCAACAGCACCCCCTGCCAACCGTGATTAGAACTGCGCTAAAGACAGAGAAGTATTCAGACCTTTTTCTTTTGTTTAAAGGGGACTTTTGGGTACAAAACTGTTGTCTAGTTGGGTTTTTTTGTGTTCTGTTGCTGTTCTTGCCAACATACATATATCTACTGATGCCTTAAGCCCCTAAGGGTTTTTTATTTTTCTAATACTTGTAAGTTTTATAAGTAGTGGAAGTAGACTCTAAAAGCAGCATCTCCCTTGTCTCTTTCCCTGTAGCACCCTTGTTTACACATTCCTTAACCCTCTTACCCCATTCTATGCTCCCTATATCACTCCTACCCCCGAATCCAGTAGAAATGTTTAGTCTTTTGTCAAGGCAAGGCCTAGATTGTTGGCAGAACAGCATATCAGGGCCTGAACAACAAAATGAAGTCAAGAATTAGGTAACCATGTACCCTTTGTGCTCTGAAGAAGATGAAGATAGGACGAAGAGAGGGTCCCAAAATACACCCCAGACCCATTTCTAAGGGGTGGGCCCGGGGCGGTCCAGAGTAAAGGCCACAGGGTGGACACATTTGGGATTGGATGGATGGTATTATAAAATGTAACCTCTCGGGCACAGGGGCGCGCGTCTTGTAACATCTTTTGCCTTGGCATAATAAACCCTTTCTTATCTCACCCCTAATTAACTGCTCCGGAGATTTTTTTGAAGCACCCTAAATCCCACGGCATCATTTTAATAAAGGGTTGTTATTTCTTCTGTTGTTTTTTTTTTCCACACTTCCTCGATTGAAGCCCCCTTAATTTTGAATTTACAATTGCTGAGAGAGAGGAGTTTGGTTTGTCTCATGACTCATCCTCTTTAGCAAACATTCCAGTCTCTTCAAACTGAGACACACCTACAGCCCATGGAGGAGCCCATGCAGGAGTAGGTGGATGCCTGAAAGAAGGCTGTGACCCCATGGGAAGCCAGTGCTGGAGCAGGGTCCTGGCAGGACTTGTGATCCTGTGCGGGACCCATGCTGGAGCAGTTTGTGAAGGACTGTTGCCCGTGGGAGGAACCCCACACTGGAGCAGGGGAAGGACTTCTCTCCCTGAGCAGCAGCAGAAACGTGTGATGAACTGACCATAACCCCCATTCCCCATCTCCCTGCACCGCTGGGGGATGATAAGGGAGAGCTGGGGAAGGAGGGATGGGTGGGGGGAAGGTTTTTTTAAGATTTGCTTTACTTCTCATTATTCTGCTCTGATTTTGTCTGGTAATAAATTCAATTAATATCCCCAAGTTGAGTCTGTTTTGCCCATGACAGTAATCAGTGACTGATCTCTCCCAGTCCTTGTCTCAACTCATGAGCCTTTTGTTATATCTTTTTTCTCTCCCCTGTCTGGCTGAGGAGGGGAGTGATAGAGCAGCTTTGTTGAGCACCTGGCATCAAGCCAGGGTCAACCCACCACAGACATTTGCTTCCAGGAAGAGCCCTTAAATCTCAAATTGTACCTCAAGTACTGTGTTCAGTTTTGGGCCTCTCACTATGAGAAACACATTGAGGTGTTGGTGTGTGCCCAAAGAAGGGCAACAAAGGCACACCAAGCTTTGTGGTGCAGTTGATATGCTGGAGGGAATGGATGCCATCCAGAGGGACCTTGACAGGCTGGAGAGGTGGGACGATGCAAACTTCAGGAAGTTCAACAAAGCAAAGTGCAAGGTCCTACATCTGGGTCATGGCAATCCCAGGCACACCTTCAGGTTGGGCAGAGAAGTGATTGAGAGCAGCCCTGCAGAGAAGGACTTGGGGGCGATGGTTGATGAAAAACTCACCATGAGCCAGTAGTGTGCTCACAGTCCAGAAAGCCAACCATGTCCTTGGATGTATCAAAAGGAACATGGTCAGCAGGTCAAGGGAGGTGATTCTTCCCCTCTACTCTGCTCTCATGAGACCCCACCTGGAGTACTGTGCACATTTCTGGTACCCCCAACATAAGAAGGACATGGAACTGTTGGAGCAAGTCCAGAGGAGGGACACAAAATTGATAAGAGGACTGGAGCACCTCCCCTATGAAGACAGGTTGAGAAAGTTGGGGCTGTTCTGCCTGGAGAAGAGAAGGTTGCGTGGAGACCTCATAGCAACTATCTGAAGGGGTCTCCAGGCAAACAGAGAGGGACTCGTCATCATGAACTGTAGTGATAGAACAAGGAGTAATAGGTTGCCCTGCTTCTGGCCAGGACAGGGTTAATTTTTCCAGTAGCCAGGAGGGGCATGGCCAGGACCTGGATGTTATTCTATACCACCTCACATCATTTTCCGGGGACAGGGGAAGGGGTCCCTTCTGGGTTGCATTGCATAGTGGCACAGTGGGGTACTATCGGGGTGAGTACTCATGTGTGAATCATTTTTTTCTTGTACACTGTTATTAGTATTGTTGCTGTTACTGTTCTTTTCCTTATCACATTGCTCTTTCCAGAAAATTGTTTCTTATCTCAACCTGTGAACTTTACCTTTTGTGCCTCCAATTCTCCTCTCCAGCTCGACACAGGGGGAGGGGGGAGTGAGCGAGCGACGCATGTTTTGGAGTGTCTCAGTGGGAACACTAAATTGGGGAATACCATTCCTAAACCACGACACAGGTATAAAGTGAAAGAGGGGAAATTTAGGTTAGATATTAGGAAGAAGTTCTTTACTGTGAGGGTGGTGAAGCACTGGCGCAGGTTGCCCAGGGAGGTTGTGGATGCTCCAACCCTGGCAGTGTTGAAAGCGAGGTTGGATAAGGCCTTGAGTAACCTGGTCTAGTGGGAGGTGTCCCCGCCCACAGCAGGGGGGTTGGAACTAGATGATCTTTAAGGTCCCTTCCAACCCCTTAACATTCTATGATTCTATAACAAAGCTGGTGAAGGGTCTAGAGAACAAGTCCTGTGAGGAGCAGTTGAAGGAATTGGGGTTTTTTAGTCTGGAAAAAAGGATGCTCATAGGGGACATTCTCACTCTCTACAACTACCTGAAAGGAGGTTGTAGTGAGGTGGGTGTCAGTTTCTTCTCCCAAGTAACAAGTGACAGGATGAGAGGAAAATGCCTCAAGTTACACCAGGGGAGGTTTAGATTGGATATTAGGAACAATTTCTTCACTGAAATGGTTATCAAGCATTAGAACAGGTTGCTTAGGGAAGTGGTAATCGTCCCTGAAGGTATTTAAAAGATGCACAGATGTGGCACTTGGGGACATGGTTTAGTGGTAGACTTGGCAGCGGTTAGGTTAAGAGTTGGACTTGATGATCTTAAAGGTGTTTTCCAACCTAAATGATTCTATGATTATCTGCAAACTAACCTGCTCTTCCCAGTCCTCCTAAGTTTCTCTCCAAGATCTTCCAACATCTCTAATCAGTCAGGGGCATTCTTTTACCAAGTCTTGAGCTAGCAATCACATCACTAGTTTAGGTGACCCACCTTCATTGCATTTCCTCTTGGGAGATAAATTCTTGACATCTTTACAGATGGAAAGAATCCCAGTTGGGGTAACAGATTGATATCCAAATAGAAGTATCACCTCTCTAACAAAAAGATATTTACATTGTAATAATATTGAAGTTTCCTCAATTTCAATTTATATCTGTGTAATATTCTAAAAAAAAAAATTCTATGTTACAAATAAAACAACTTTAGATCTCTGCTACATTCTTACATTTAGAAACATCAAAAATACTCACCCCAAGCACCTGCAGCTAAAGAATTATTCTGGTTTGGTGTGCTCTCGTATTCAGGATTCAAAGATGGCTGAAAGGAAGATTTATCATTATTAAATAAAATTTATTAATAAGTCTTGAATTGAACAATGAAATATAGAAACACAATAATATTGGAAGTATGACCTCTGCTGTCAAAGATTTTTAAACGGAGACAGACTAGACACTTCTCCCTGCAACCCAAATAGATCAACACCCACTTGTTTCCTCTTCTCCAACAAAACATCTCAAACAGCAGTCAATAGCATTATACGAACTGTCCAAAGAAAGCAAAACACAGTGATGTATGGTTCTTCAAAGAGGAAGCTCATCCTTCCCCTGACATCCTACAATTTTAGGTTGAAGCATGGGACCTCAAACAGCCAGTGGCAGAAAGATCATTTTGTTAGTACTTCAGATTTCCAGTAAGGTACTTGTGTAGAATTTAATGCATACACATGCCACAGTAAACTGTGGTAAGATATTATGAAATAAACTTAGAACACAATTATAGTTTCACTTCAACACTTAAGTGACAATAACAAAATCATGATAAAAACTGGATATAGAAAGAGAAACAAGTTAGTGGACAAATGACTAACACCCTCTTACCTATGGGAAGGGTGATCCCTTATATGATAATCTGTAACTGGTGAAATCTCATGAAGTAGCTTGCAATGGACAAAATGGTGCAGAAACAATGAAACCTTGTTTATTATAATTACAATTAACTTACAAAATCCTCAGCCTCAAACTGTTTGGTTACTTCCTTGTCTTCCTTTTTCCCAGTTTCATTATCACATACATTGCTTTCATGCAGTCCTTGGCCTTTTCCACAGTGGAAAGTGCTGGTACAAGTGCGGGAACCTCTGCCATGGTATCCCCCAAGATGGTTTATATTTTCTGTACCATCTCCGCCTTGTGAACGCCAACCATTCTTCTCTTTTCTCCCAAAATGCCCTTAGATTTTAAAATTTTAAATAAATGTAATTACTAATGGTTTTGAAAGAACATTCTACTTCTGCAAAATTGGTAGAGAAATTAAGCAAGCAGCTCTACACTCTGGGATGTGACAGTTTAGTAAACTTAGTTTTCATTTACATAATCAGCAGGGAAGAAGAATCTCACAAAACAGTGCCAAAAAAATAGAATAGTAATCCAACATTAAGAAGTCAAACCCTTTTTCTGGCTATTCATTATTATATTGTTAGCTAGAGAATTAACTTAACCACCTTCTTCTTAAGAGAGAAATACACCTGGAATCACACTACTTTAACCAACCCTTAGTCATCACATCATCTCCCAGAAGATCTATCTTTCCATTACCTCTATTCTACTATAGAATACAGCATTTGGCATAGGACAGCAACAACATAAACATATTTAAAATGTTCCTCGAAAACTAAATTATACCTCCGTTAGGCCATCCAATGTTAGGATCAAACCCATCTGAAGAGTTGTGTCTTCTGCGATTTGCTTCATAATGACTGACTGTCCACAGAAAATTTTCAGAATGTTTCTCAAAGTTCAGTGATGACTGTAAAGGAGCACAAGTGGTAGACCTGAGATATCTGATTAATAACAAAACTGAATTATCAAAACTGTAATATGTACATTACTTGTGGTATATACAATCCATTTTTAGAAGGACTATGAATGGCAGACCATACAGCAGTTCTCAAGTATGCATATGTTCAGTTAGGTCATCATCTCCCATGCTAGCAGAAGCTATATCTTCTGCTCCGGGACACTGAAACAATGCTGAGGACCATGCTTGTGACACAAAGTAAAAATCCCAAGCGTTGGGTTTGGCAGCAGAACAGAGCACAAGTGACACATGGCAGCAGAGGAAAAATAAAAAAAAATGGTAACAAAGGATACAAGATCACAGTTTGGAAGGCAGGAAAGAAGTCTGGGATCTTAGAGTAGTTAGAGACTATACATGTATTGCATAGAAAGCAAAGAGTTGCTTCCACCAGACAGCTGTACCCAAAAAAGACCCAGTTTATTAGCTGTCATTACAATTTAATAAGGTAAATACAACTAGTTATGAAATACAAGTAAAATCTAGAGTCAAAAGTGTACAGATTCACAAATATACTTCAAATTACCAGATTATAAAGTAGGTACGGTAGAAATTTTAGAGAACTAAATCTTTATAAAGTACTTTCTATTGGTATATTAAACTAAAACCTTATGTTGAGAATAGCACTCAGAAATCCAAACAAATCCTGACTAGAACTCATACCTAAGGGGATTAAACCAAAAAAGGATCATGTCTTACAGCAGCTGTCTTCCTTATTACTTCTTTTTGAAGTATAAGAAGTCATATTGCTTAAAATGAAGTAACAGCAAACTTGCAAAAACTACATTTACCAATCTGCAATCTCCCCATACACATTTTACAGCAATTCTTTCTTAAAAGGTTCATCCATATCCCAAGATGGTTTCACTATTCACAAACCTTTCCCATTTCCACCTGCTCAACTGCAATACTGCATTGATGTAAATATATTAGTTTCAGACCCAAACTAAAGCTACTGAGCAATGGATATCCAGCTATCTCAGTTGTCTTTGCCACATAAGTGATAGGGAGATGATATAAAAGGTTATCTTTAAGAGGAAATCATCAGCGATAGACAAGATGGATTTCATTCAAGCTGTAATCAGTCACATTAAGAAAACTCTTTCATGACCCCAGTTTCCTGGCATCAGGTCTTTCTAATGCTAGCCTTTACCTAGGTAAGGGAAAGCCTCAGTTACCCAGGACTGAGGGGGAAACTAAACTTGTAAAGACATAGTTCCTACAAGTGCCTTTCAGGGAAATAAAAACTGACTGAGCAGAGTTCAGTTTCTCCTTCTCAAGTTTAAATGTTGTCGATACCATAGCCTCATCCCAGCTCCATTCTGCATGAAGCATGAGACACTTTGCCTTCCTCACCCCCTTCTTCTTCATCCCTTTTATCTGCTCTTCCCTACAGCAGCTGTCATATTGAGATATGGGAAGCAGAAATAAACATCTATCCTAGGAAATGGAGGGGACAGGGAGCAGAAGGGCACAACATTTGAGACCTCTATTGTAGAAGAATGTTAGAATAAGCTATATTCCATAAACTACAAACTACTACGCACTGGGTCGGACCAAAAAGACTTTTCAAGTGTTTAATAGCCAAATGTGCTTTATATCACACAATGCTGATCACTGAGGAAGGAGGTAATACAAGGAAATAAGCTGCATTTCAAACAATGAAGGACAAAGACTATAATGGAGAAAGCATACAACTAAAGAGTTTTTGCAAGAGATGAAAGTAAGTCTATCTAAACTCCCTGAGGCAAAGATTCATGGAAGAGAACAGGATCCACAACATATACTTGCAAAGAAATTTCCAATAATTGAGGATGTGCTGGTTTAAAGGTAAACCAGCAGGGGAAATGAACCCAACTCAAAAGAGAGATTATAAGTCAGAATAACAATTTAATAAAATAATACAATAAGTATGATTATACAGACAAACAATTGGTTTTAACCCACAAAGCCCAAATGTATAACCTGGCACCCTAGGGCATGAAACGAGTGGTGTTCGTTGGGCCCCCTGAGTCCAAAGTAAAAAGAGAGGGGAAAAACCTGTTGGTGAGAGTGCTGTTGCAGTCTGGTCAAGAGTGGTGGTTGCAGTTCAGTCAAGAGTGGTGGTCTGCAGTCTGGTTGAGAGTGGTGGTCTGCAGTCTGGTTGAGAGTGGTGGTCTGCAGTCTTCCTCTGGATCCCACGAGTGGTTAAAAAAGTCCCAAGACCCCAAGATTATATATCTTCCAGTTCAGGCAGGAATGCCCAGTACCTCCCTCAGGGCGGGGAGTTCCACAATGGGTGTGAGGAGCATCCTCTTATCTCGCAGGCCTCTTAACACCCAGTTTATAGCCTGAGGAGTCAGGCCTGCTCTGGGCAGATGGTGTAAATAGTCTATTGATAACAGTTTCTGGGAAATGGCATGGAAGGCTATAGAATACAGTTTTGGGTTACACCCATACAGTGATGAACTGGTCCCAGCTGTTCTAACTAGGACAGAGAAATGAGGTGACAAATACAACCCACACCCCAGATATATTCGAGTAGTACTGAGGTAGGGCTAGAACTTATTTTTATCTGGCTATATTGACACTTTAAATATGCAGGTAAAGCTTTTCCAGCAGATTCTTGAAATACATGGAAAAAGACTGTTTTGCAATTGTGACACCATGTTAAGCTAAGCTCTAATTACTTTTCTGATTGAAAATGTATTTAAATTGGAAAAAGCAGATCAGAAGAGCTGAATATCTCAGAAATCAAGTAGAATGAAAACAAATAGATCACAGGAACCATTCCGGAAGAGATAGGTCTGATGTTCCCAGAAAAGCAATTGACAGTTGCTGACAGACTATACTAAACAAAAGAAGCTAGATAGATCAGTGTAGAAGAAAGTTGAATAGAGCAATATAATAAATAAGGACATTCAATGCATGCATGTGTGCAGACATATAAAAGTAAAGCAATGGGAACATACACTGACAGCTGACTGGGCATTTAACAATAGCACAAGCCTATTTCCATAACTTTATAAAGGCTAAACATTTCCCATGGACATGAAAGACAGCAAGAAACTTAAATACATTAAAGCAAGGCAATGCCACTCTCATAGCTGCAGATATTATAATGAAGACAACAACTCTACAAATGGGGAAATAAAACAGATTACAGGAGTTTGAAATATCCAGTGCTGCCTCTGCTTCTACAGTCACACAAATTAAGGAAGAGTAGGATAGCCCAGAAAAGGAAACATTTATGATAGACATATTCAAGACTTCCTAGAATACTTACAAATCCTAATGTTTCAGAGATTGCTATTTCTTGTTTCCAAGCTGTCCCATTGCATAAAGTGATTAAGAGTAGTCTAGATGAAACCACCACAGCGAGAATGCACAACTATTTGAAAGTGCCACACGCTACCAGTAGTAGCAAGCATCCTGCCAGCAACTGAGGAGCCATTTCAGAAAGTCTATTTCAAAAGTATTTTTTTAATCACTTGGATGATAGAGTAACACTTCTGTAAAATGTATAGGACACAGAGCAAAATCAGAAGCAAGAACATTAAGCACATGCCTCTGTCTCATTTCTTCCAGTACAAAATACTATAATTAATTTTAAACTCCCACTGAAGGCAATCTTAATCCAACAGCTCTGACAACATGTCCAGGTACATACTTCTTTCCATGAACTCCCCTACCAGAGGTACAAGCTTGACAACCAAGGTCCAACTATTTAAATCATGACAGCAAGACTTGCTAAATAACATCTGTTATCACCCTTCACATTTTCATAAAGAGATTTGTATTTTTACTATGATTGAGGTTATGACATTTATAGACTTCTCTAATAACAAGACTGCCTGGTCAAAAGAATAGTGAAGAACATACCTTTGTTGATGGCGGAGTAGAAAAATTAAGCCAGGCTGGAGTAAAGTCATGCTGCGCCATTTAGGTCCAGTCTCTCTGAATCAAATGAAACAAGGTTTCAGCACCTCATGGCAAGTCCCTGTAATAAGAACAAACCAAGAAACGAGTACTTTTCAGATGTTTATCTTACAAGAGGATTACACTTGTGGTGTTTTGATCATTATTTCCATTCTGTTTTCTAGTATTATTTTCTCAGACAGATCTTTACCATGAGCCAGCGTGTGCCCAGGTGGCCAAGAAGGCCAATGGCATCCTGGTCTGTATCAGAAATACTGTGCCCAGCAGGACCAGGGAAGGTGAGGCCATACCTCGAGTACTGTGCCCAGTTTTGGGCCCCTCACTACAAGGACACTGAGGTGCTGGAGTGTGTCCAGAGAAGGGCAATGGAGTTGGTGAAGGGACTGGAACATAAGTCCTATGAGGAGCAACTGAGGGAGTTGGGGGTGTTCAGTCTGGAGAAAAGGAGGTTCAGGGAAGAACTTATCACTCTCTACAACTACCTGAAAGGAGGTTGTAGCTAGGTGGGTGTCAACTCCTTCTTCCAGGCAACTAGTGAGAGGACAAGAGGAAATGGCCTCAAACTGTGCCAGGGAGGTTCAGATCAGATATTAAGAAAAATTTCTTCACTGAAAGAGTGGTTAAGCATTGGAACAGGCTGGTCAGGGAAATGGTGGAGTCACCATCCCTGGAAATGTTCAAAAAAAGAGTAGACATGGCACTTTGTGATATGGTTTAGTGGGCATGGTGGTACTCAGTCAAAGGTTGGACTCGATGATCTTGGAAGTCCTTTCCAACCTTAATGATTCTATCTGTTTTTAGAATTTAACTAGTCTCATCTCATTTACAGCATCACATCTGCACTTTTATTACCAAAGTGTCATACTAATCAAAGATATCACAGGTATCATGAAAATACATCTGTAACATTCAGTCCTTTATTTCCTCTTATAAATGGGATGAAGTATCTTGCATAAGGTCTAACCAGAAAGAGGTGGCAAAATTAGTTTTCTGAAATATTTTGCAGTACTATCTAGAATACATTGCAGGAGCTATTTCATTAGCTTCCTAGAAGAAGCTGATTTTCCAAATTAGTCCCTAGAAGTTAATCTTAGAGGCCATAATTAAAGTTCCTTAATAAAAGACTAGATGCTCAGAACCACCACACACCCCATATTTTCTCTAGATTTAATGAAAACAGTGTTTACATGTCCAGAAATATCGTCAAAAATCCAGTTAAATTCTCTAGCTTGAAAACAAGCAAGAGAAGATAATTTCACAGAATATTCTGAGTTGGAAGGGACCCACAAGGATCATTGAGTCCAACTCTTAAGTGAATGGCCCATACGGGGTTCGAACCTACAACCTTGGTGTTATTAGCACCATGCTCTAACCAACTGAGATAATCTCAGGGTTATAATGGCTTAAGAGAAAACCCAAGAGTACTTTTCCTACCCCATGCTCTCTCCACAGGTGAGAAAACATCTCTCAGTAAGCAAGAGAATGCAAGATGATGAAAACTATATTACTTGAAGCTGAGCAACAGCACAGAAAGAAATGGATGAAACTGCCTAAATTACAAGGGTATAACAGAATCATGTTCTGCATCTAGATACTGCAAAATTGTCAATGACTCAGAAGTATCTTAAGTATGATATGCACACTCTTAGAAATTCAGCTAGTGAAAACAACATTTCACAGGGGGACCCAAATAAACACATATTCCACATCTCTGCACAACAGAATGCAGATCTGTTAGTCAGTGAACACAGATGTAGTTCACTTTAATCTAAAGTTGTTGTCATTTGAGTAAATTTTAATAAGAGTTGTGTAATCCAAACCTGATAATTATTGTTCTATTCTGGCCTGAAGTGCACTACTGCAGACTTCCAGTAACAGAGGAAAACGTTCCAACTTCCAAAAGGAAGTATAGTAGATTTGTAAGCATTAAACTGCACTACTTGGTTGAGTTGCCAGTTCCTTTTTATGTAGTGAGCTCATACAAAACTTTTTAGGTACCTCTGATACCAGAGTTAAACTATAAGGTAAGATGCACAAAATCGGCTATCATTAGAGACAAGTTTAAAAGTATGTGTCACCCAAGTAACTTGTTATAAATTACTCTACTGAAGTCATCCAAGAGTCTCTTCTAAATTAACTTCAAAAGAAATTCCAGAGAAATTTTCTAAATAATCCAATTACGTCAGACTAGTTTAAATAAACAAAGTAAGTTCTAGTCACAGAACCATCACAAAAATGGCTCTTCTTTCTAACAGGAACCAAGTTCACTTTTACTGATTAATCATGTTCAGCAATGGTATAGAAACAGAAAAAGTGTCTACGTTTACAGATGAACCTATACAATTGATGCTAAATTAATAGCAAATTAAATGTGAACAGACTACAGTAAGAATTTTTTTTTCTCCTTCCCTTGCATAGTGACTTCAGAAAAAAAAAGTCTCCCGTAGTCCATAAAATTTGTCATAAATATAACTCAGTCACCTACTTCAAGCCACACAAGCAGCTGAAATAAGAACACTGAACCAAGTATGCTTGACCAACAACCAAAAAGATTGGGTTGGGGTTTTTTTATGGTTGAGTCAATAAGATCCTTTTGTAATAAAGTATTTGTCACCAGTTTTACAACATCTGGAAACACTTTTTAAAACAAACTTATTTGTCTCATCCAAAGAACATTCAAGAAAATTTAATATCTTGCCTCTGTTTTAGAAAAAGAGGTAATACGCTGAGAAAAGGGAACCAGAAAGCCACTGCATGAACTGGAAGTCAAGACTTCTGCAAAAAGGCTAAGAATCAAATCTCAAAAAAAATAGATCTGAAATAACTATTAAGTTTAGCTTGTGTTTACCAAAGTAAAAGAAGAAATAAAATCTTAAACAGTATAGTCATTTTTTTCCTGCAGTACTACATTTTTCTTTTTTAAATCACCACAGGAAAAGATACTAGTAAAATCACATGTAGAATAACAGCACAGAAATTTAAACTTTTACTTAGTGCAATAATGAACTATTACAGCAATCAGGGGCAAAAAGAAGTATAAGAAAACTACTTGGGCTTGCTTTGCCTCACAAATTTAGGACCTGAAGGAGTAAATTCCACCAAGAAAAGACATTTTAATAAAATCAAACCAAACATAATAATCACAAGATCAAGGTTATTCCTTGAAGTTGAGAGATTCCTTGTCATAACAGACCCTCTGTAAGTGATTAACAGCATGCTAAACTTTGAAATGTTAGCTAAGTGATATAAAGGATTGGTATTGCACATATAATCCTTTAGACATAAAGCATTCACCAAGTGTGGAACTAGGATTGGATCCAACCACATCTAGACTCCTCTCTGAGAAGGAGTTTAGAATGCAAGGGGGTCCTTGTTGAACTTCATGACTCAACAGAAAGGTCTCCCTGACAATTCTGTCTGACCCTGTCCTCTATGCAGTAAATAAGCAACTGTACCTTGCCATCAAATCTTGTTAAACCACTGTTGCATATACCTTTGAACTCTTAACTCACTGTTTTAAAAGTATACCGTTATTTCTTTCTTAAGAGTGAAATGCATCACTCCATTCACAACAAAACTAAAAACCTCCATGTAGGTTTTTACAGGGCATGAAATACATAGATCAAGGAGATCCAGTTGAACAAAAAACCCAAAACATAGAATGTTTACTCATTCTCATTGTTACAGATTTCACCCTCCTTCACTCCTGAACAATTTCACCAAATAGGCAGACTAGCAATACTAATATTCTAACCACTAGTGAAGCATGAGAGAGCATTATAGAATAAGCATACTGCAAGAATCCTAGCAAGATCCATTAGTCCAGTTCATATCTCTCTGCGTAGCACATAAAAAAATGGGGATACAATGCAGGCACATACCAGACTCATTACAGACAGGGTAACTGCAGAGTCACTACAGACAGAATCAGATGCATTTCTGAACTTGCTTAGCTGCAATGCTAAACCAGGAAGCAGTTGTGCTGAGAAAAGCCATGGACCAAAAAGATGAGGCAAGTAGACAGACATAGACTTTTTTGTTTCCATGCCAGACATATAACATGTTGGAAACAGAACTGACAAAGTTTTAAAACAAAACAAACAACAAAAGTTCAAGTTTCCAATTCAAACACTGGAATCCTTGTGATCTAACCTTTCTTCATATGCTAGAAATTCATATAACATCTCCTGCACTGCTCCTGCTAACACAGTGGAACAATAGTAATTTCCTTTACAAATGTCTCCAACCTGGTCTTAAACATATCATCAAAAAAATAACGGATACAGAGGTCTGGAATAAACTGATTACACAAAAATTAATTTAAGTGATCACTCCTGCACCACTATAAAGATGATCCTTTATCCTGAATTTCTTCTAGCTTCCCTTCCATTATCAGATCTTTCTAGCATTAGAAATCCTCTCTCTCTGTCTACTCACACAACACTATAAATATCAAAATAGCATCTCTGGAAGTGTGTAATACTCTTCAGGAGTTGAAAAAATGCTTCCCATGACAATTACTCTCAAGGGAATCTCTGCACTGGCTGCATAAGTGGATGTGAGGTACCGGGGAAGAGGAATGATCTGGGCTACTTCAGGAACAGAGTAGAGGAAACAGTTGTAGTAGAAGCATTCTGAATTTCAGTTCCATGTTTTGTTTTCTATAAACAGGTCAAATAAGAAAAAATGAGTTCAATTATTAGAATACAGATTCCTAAAAGAATTGTGGCATATAAGGTAACATGCACTCACATTTAACTGCTGTGATTTTTTGATACTATTTTCATTTATTTTTCCAATGGTTTAAGTAGTTCTAACTAGAGGAAATCCATTTAGTATCACATTTTTAATATATTTAACTATAAACACTATAACAATTCTGTGAATCATAATCAAGTGTAAAAACATGTAATCCTACCTTTTATTTTCCCACATCCATACCCATTGCAGATTATAGGAGGAATGTGGTTCTTTGCTAGACTCACTCTAATAAGTCCATATCT